TTAAAAAACAAAGGCAGCAACACATCTGTAAGTCACTGCACACGTTCATTTCTGCACATTTACCTGAGTGTTACTCAGGTGGATTTTAGTGTGGAGAAACTATACAGCTTTTACTGTACTATCCTATACGCTACAGAAAAACTTCCATTTTGGGCTGGAGGTGTTTTGGGGGAAGAAAAAAAAAGTGATTATATTTGTTGTCCAAGGACTTGGTCTTGTCTTTTCTTTACCAGATTTAAGAAACTTTGGGACATTTTTTGGACAATATTTTTTCCAAAGCATCCACAGAATTTAAGACTTTTTCACCTGGTTCAGAAGTAGCTCTTCTGAACTCTCACCCTCTGGGTCTCAAGTTAGAAACATATGTCTCTTCCAATACAGCATTCAGAGAGTATGTATGTGTCAGTATTTTAAAATACTGACACATACAAGTTCTTGGATATTCAAGATGCTGGTAACAGTGGGGCCACAACAGTAGGGGTCAGGGGATAGAGATAGTTCATTTTCACTGGATATCTGTGGCAGATACCATAGGTTAGCTCTTGACACACATTCCAATCCGGTTTTTCCTTTGCCTTCCTCTCTGTAGACCTAAGAAGCTGAAAACGTACCTTCCAAGACTCCCTGCCACCAGGCGGGGCTGTATGATATATTTCTAGCCAATGAGATGCAGGCAAAAAATCTCTACATTTTGCCCTTTGCCCTTGTGTCTTCCCTCTTCCTTTGGCCTTGAACGCTGACATAATACTTGGAGGTCAAGCAGCCTTGGGGACAAAATTCACATACCAAGGGTGGAAGGAGAAGACTGGCTCCTTGAGTAGCTCCCAAGATTTACACTACTGTGGGAATCCTAATTATATAAGAAAAATAACCCAACATGTTCACTCCTTTGTACCACAGTAGCGATGCAAAGCAAAAGTACTCTCAGCATTTGATAGTTTTTTGTTTGTTTGTTTTTGTTTTGTTTTGTTTTGTTTTTGTTTTTCACTGTTTGGACCAAGTATATGCATTACCTATTTGAAAAATAATTAAAAAACTAAAAACAATGTGAAGTATACATAAATCTTCGTTACTTTTTTCTCTTTTTTTAAGTTTTTTTGGGGGGGAGAGGTAATTAGATTTATTTACTTACTTATTTTTAGAAGAGGTATTGGGGATTGAACCCAGGACCTTATGTATGTGCTCTACCACTTGAGCTATACCTTCCCCCCTCCTTTTTTGTCCTTAATAGTTGAAGAAATTTGTTTGGACTCCTCACTACCTAAACATTTAGGTTATCAAAAAGTTATTCTAGTCTTTTCGTGAGCATGGCTACAGCCTAGGCCAGTAGCCACTAAGTTAGTGACACACCAGAAGCCTCTGGGGCCACCTGGATCTCTTTGCCAGAAGAGTTGCCTTTGTGTTTGTTTTTAGAATTACTGGACCACTCATGTAAGATTGTGAACTCATGGGAAGAATTCTGGAGACACCAATTTATCAATTTTCATTTCATCCAAGATGGTATATCATGCATAGATGTGCATCTGAAATCATCTAAGTTACTGGCAACTAATGTGTCCTGTCATTCACCAAGAAGCTAAGAGATTCTTGATTTATTCTGAGCTCTCTGATAAGATAATGCTCCCTTGTGGTACTTAAAGGTAAAAATTATAAGATAAAGTTAACAGTGGCAAACAACAGAACCCACTCCAGCTAGAATAAGCAGAAAAAGGATATATGAAGGGTATGATCAATCCCACTACTAGTCCAAAATGCATATGAAAAGCCATCCATTCCGCAAGATACCTCACTGCCATTTATTGAAAAGGAATGCCATCTGTTATAATAAATATGTGGTGACTATGCATATGAATAGTGCACGATATGCAGCCCGGGATATCAAGTGACTTACATAATTCCTGGAAGAGGGTGAGAATCAAGCTTGGAAGCCACACAGTCATGAAACACTCCCAGTCACATTGCAGGTCAGCTCTAGGGGACACCTAGAGCCACTGCTGATGGGCACAGACAGCCTAGCTCACCTTGCTTTCCCTGGGCACTGTATCCAGCTCTTCCCTTCCCATGGCTGCTTTGAAAGCTAGCTGTCTCTCCATCCTCATCAGAATGAAGACGACAAAGTGCTTGTTTCTTCTCACCACTAGCTGCTGAAACAGAAAGGCGAATTCATCTGATCAATGAAGTCTGGGTCATTTGCATATATGCTAGCTGCAAGAAATGCTGGGAATCAAGTTGCTGGCTTCTACTCAGGGAGGTGCTGACTCATAAAGTTGGAATTTGCAAATTGAGTAAGGGTGTTCAAAGGCTTTGAGGATCATCCAAAGAGCATGATGATGAACAAATGACATATGTCCATGAGAGCTGGCAGACATTGTGCTGGACAAGAACTTCTCACTTTGGCGTTGCTTCTTTCAGTCTTCTTAGTGTCCCCTTCCCATTATAACATTCTAGCTTCTAAGATCCTCCGAAATAGGTGAATTCTCACCAGGAGTTGAGAGACATTTTCCCTCCTTACGACTCTCACTTTGCTAATAAGTTGCTCCCACTAACACTGACGGAGTTGTGTCAATTCTGTGAGGTTTAATGGGATGAGAAATTGAGAACCACTGCTCTGTGGTGATGAGAATGGAGAGGGGTGTAGTGGGGTGGGTAGAGAAGATGAAAGATGGGAGGTGGGACGACCAGGTGCCAAGGCCACAAGGTGGGAACAAGCTTGGTGTCCTGCAGGACCGAGGAAGGCTAATGTGGTTGATGTGCGGAAAGCAGAGTAAGTTCCAGATGTGGTCAGTGAGGTAGACCAGGTGGCCATGAAAAGGAGTTCGGATTTTACTGAAAGTGAAGTTGCAAGGCTTAATAAGAGAAGTGATTTTAAGGTTACTATGTGGAGTGTAGATTTCAAAAGGCAATCGTCTGAAAGCAAGAAGACCAGACAGGATCTGTTGGAGCTCGTGTTCGTTGTCATGTTTTACCATCCAGCTCAGAAGTGACCCCTCTTTCTGGTTTTGTCAGGCAAAACCAGTTTCTCCTTGAATTCAGCATGGTCCCTTAGACAAGTACACTATTTATGCTTCTTTCTCTCCCGGTAGACTGAGTTCCTGCTGGGTCCCCTGGTTGGCCTCCAGCCCTGTGCTGCCACAATCGCTCTTCTGGAGAGGAAGTGGGATAAAGGGAGAGCCTTTGAAGCCTGTCCGTACAGGCTGTCCTTCCAGCTAACGGGGGCTCTCTGGGGAATGTATGTTTGACTTTCTATTCCCGGTAATACAAGTTCAAATGTTTACGGATGTTTGAAGCTGGGATGAAAGCATTTCTATTCATGCTGCTAGAATCTGTGAGGCTTTTCTTTTCTTTCTTTCTTTCTTTCTTTCTTTCTTTCTTTCTTTCTTTCTTTCTTTCTTTCTTTCTTTCTTTCTTTCTTTCTTTTAACTTGGGTTACTTGGCTGGGGAAAGGAAGGTAGTGTGAGGATCAGAGTGAATCCTTGAGGCAGGTAAACCTGGATGGGGCTGGACGGCAGAGTCCCGGCCTTCTAAACTGGGAGCCTGGGGCGCCGGCCACAGGCGCCTGGAGGTCAGGAGGGCGAGTGGAGGGTCGGGCAGTCCCCGGGTTGTACAGGTGAGGCAGAAGTTTCGAGAGAGACAGAGCCCGGCCAGAAGGCTCCGGGCTGAGCCCACTCAGACAGGGACGGGCGGCGCAGCGGGCCGGGGTCAGGTACCGCGCCGCTGGCCAGCTTGTCCCAGACATTCCGCGTCCGCGGCGGCGGGAATGCGC